CATTATATAATGCGTTATAATATTGTAATATTTGATGTCTTGGTTGCTGTAACAATTTGACACCATTCAGTATTGGGTTACATACATTTAAGAGAAAAATCACAAAACGGAATTTAATAGTATCTTGCTTTTCGCTCTTTCTACGAGTATACGACACATTATAAGTATAATAACTTGCATTTTTAAGTTAACTATTATTCAGATATTTTTGTATGAACAATATAGTACCTCCTTTTTCGATGTGCTTGGAAAACACAGACTCCAATAAGAATAAGTGATACTAGTAATACTGCTGCGGGCACTCCAATCAGGTACGGAATATTGTCTGAAACAATTATGTTCAAATAAAAATATTATCTCGGTTATTGACTCGGTTAAAACATGAAATATTGAGATAACGAACAGTATATAAAGCTCAGAAGACAATTGAAACCATACAAATCGGGAGAAAAACAAACACGGACCTTTAAAACATCAGAGGTGGGTTCAGGCGCCATGGAGGAGTAAGCTAACACTGTCGACCTGTCAAACCCACCGTGTGCTCCTTTGTCATGGTGGGATCAACGGAAAACCCTGCAGACAATTTTGTATGTATATAATGATCTAAGAATTATTTTGAAACTTTCACTCAGCATACGATTTAATTATAGATGTGAAGTACTATCACTCTATCGACCACAGAACGTGCGAAATAATGACTTCAACTTGATTTTTCTTCTTCCATTTACAGATGAATTGACAAGAGATAAGGAAACATTAGCAGTGGCTATGGTTAGGTATTAGGGGAACTAAAATTATTTTCTAAAACAAATGATGACTTTTGGACTTTTGCGAGAAGCGCTGAATTTATGGTTTATTTTTACACTTGGAAAGTATAAGGAAGTCTTCCTTGCAATATACTGTAGATTCCTAATTAAACGCATGGAATTAATTATCGCGTAATTTCGCGAGAAGCACCACAAGCAAAATAAAATTACTCGCCTTTATTTTTATAATGCTGAAATCTATGTAAAATCTCTTCATCAAGCGCCCATTCGCGAAATATTATTCTCGCGATTTGACATTGAAGAGCCCATTCGCGATAATAAGTACTCGCGAAAAATAAGGAATCTACAGTAAATTATAAATCACAAAAGTTCAAAAGATGTCGTTAGTTCTAAATGTCGAATTGAAAACAACAAGTATTTTCTTCTTTTCATATGAAGCAGGATTAATTCAAAAACTTCATATAAGAAAAAATCCCTTCATGTGGCCTTTAATCAACATTATTATATATCGACAGCCTTAGTTTATCTATTAACAATATTCATTTTCATTTCTCTGTTATTTTGATTTTTTTTGAGCTCGAAATAAAAGATATCTCAGAGTTCACACATCTACTTCATTTTTAGATACATGTAACGTTATTTGAATATTTTACTAGAAAAAAAGAGTTAATAGTACCAAACAACAAAACTATCTATTATAAAGACAAATGTTGACTGACATCTTGCACATACATGTACATTGTTTTACCATCATTTTCAATACATTAGGGATTTTTTCGTTTTCCCTATCATGACAAAGAACAAACCATGCTGCATGGAATGCCTACTCTTCCATGTTATCTGATCAAAACTCTGATGTTTTAGCGGCCATTGTTCTGCTTCAAACATATGTATTGTTTCAATTGAATTTTTTGGAATCTGTATCGTTTTGGTCAAAGACTCATATATAGAACCATAATGCTTCAGTTCTGCAGCTAGATTGGTGTTCGTTATCTTCAATACTTATCCAAATGACAAAGCAACAAGAAGCTTCCAAATCCGCACATTATGATCTCAGTCATATTACCCTCAAACCACGACGCGCCCTGTATCGTCGATATTGATGACGTAGTTGATTGGGATGACGTTGATGAGGAAGGGGGTGACGTTGGCTCCGGAGTAAATTGTGAATCACAACCTATTTGTACATGTATAATAAATGAAGAGGCTTTACATATTAAGGTAAAAAGCTCTGTGTGGTAAGTTGAAGAAATTCAAGACGAAAATTAAACGTCTTTAGTACTTAAGTATCTGTAGCTTAATTATGAATACTAATTTACGTTGTAATTTGACTGTTTAAGGCTTATGTTGAAGAGAAATTAAATTGAACACATGTAATTGTAAAGATTTTTTAAAATTACATGTAATTTTAATTTTTGAGTTTTTATAATATAACTTTAAAAAAGGCCTTATCTACCTTTCTGGTTGCAGAAGTTTCCTGTCGGGGAGACGAGTTTGACATTATCCAGTCCAATGATGTCTGCCAGAGAACTGTCTGTTCTACCTGTTGTTCCGAGGAATAGGATCTACAACAAAGTCATCATACTCAGTGTCAGTAATCAAAATTTGTGTACCAGAGATGCTACCTCTAACAAACGCCATTTTTTCAAATTTATGTCAAAACAGTAAAAAGGATACTGTATAATGATTATTCATTCCCTTATTTTAAAAGAGTCTCAATACATTTCGAGAAAAAAGTCCCAATACTTGTACACAAAAGAAATAAAAGAGTTCGGTTGTAGTACACATTTGAAATTTTAACTCCTATTTTAAAATACTAGTACACAATTTCACTGTGTTCTCATTATAAATTTTAATGTAATTGATAAGCAATCAAATCTTACGCTGCTATTTTCTTTTGAGGTTACATTAACTGCGGCACAGTTCCACGTTAATCCTTGTTCCCTCTCCACTTTCCAGATTACTTCTAAAGAATCTTTCCATTTTACCTCCAGTTTCTCTATATGTGAACCCTTCATGTGATAATTAAATAACAGACAGTACGTTTTTGCTCCTGTAATGTTACCAATCTCCAGAGTGGCTGTGGCATTAAATCCGATCTCATTTCCGTGGGAATAAATATAATATCCTGGTGTATATATAATAAAAAAGAGTTTTTAAGTCCTTTCCTTCTTGCTTCTAGTTTACTAAGATAAAAGATTAGATGTTGTTCTCTTAAAGCGTATATAATACAAAATAATGGCAGAAGTTGACATACTTCCTGTGTAGGCTTCGTCCGGTCCTGTTTGATCTAATGGCGACTTAAATTCATATCTAATCCATTTCCGGTTTGTCCAACCACAAAACCCGTCCTCAAAATCACAGCTTGTGAAGACATTTCCTTAAAAGACAGATTAATATTAGTGCAAAACTATAGCCAAGAATGTTTGATTCTCACAAACCCTTGGGCATGGTGTCCGTGTCATCAAAAGTCGAGATTGTTTACGTCACATAATCTTGAATCTTATTACGTACGCATATATTGCGTCATCAGCAGAAAAAAACACTATGTTTAGGCCATGGATTTGTGAGGAGAGTAGCTTATCAGAAACATTGGCTATCGAAAATGACAAGTAATAACTTGCTTAACACGATCCAGGTAAAATTAACTTATTTTTGCTCGAATCCCAATTACAAATTATGGTTTGAGTACTATGAAGTGTTAAATACTCACAAAATTTAACTTTCCCTTACCTTTCGTCGACAGAACAAGAGACAGAATGTACAGCAGTTGATAACGACGGTCAGTTTTCATGGCAGAGTTTCACTTCATCGAGGAAGTAAGTCCCAGTTCTGAATTTAAACCATTCTTCTCACAAGTCTCTGACTTATTTGGAAATCATTGAACCGACAGACAACTAAGGACTGCTAAGATTTAAATACCAACCCCTGTCTGTGTGTGTACTCAAATGACTCCCAACACGATCAAAAAAGTTAATGAATGTATGAAAAACTTAACGTAAAAAGACTTTGCATGATAATTCGTTTAAATTCTATGAACAGATCTTTTTCAGATGAACATTCTTAATGTGTGAATTGAGATTGAAAATATGTTTGACATTAAAAAGATCATGCTTATAAATATTAAATCAACATGTAAAGTGGTAAGACAGGTTGTTAAACTGTAAAATTAAAAGACCTTTCTATTCATTTGTTGTTCCTGTCTCACAATATTATTTTCCAGGTAAAATAAAAGTATGAGGACCGGACAATTTAGAGAGAAGGTGAGAAACTGAAAACATGTATCTCCTTGTAACTTGTCTTGAAAATATAAATAGTTTGTATATTTCTTTTATTAAAAAGTCTCTAAATAAAACAAACCATTCGTTTTACTACATGTTGAGCAACAAATAATTCAATTGAATAAGAAAGTAACATATGAAAAATGCATAAAAATACAAATAAAATAATTGTATAACTTCTTGTAAACATATTCTTAAAAGGATTATAATTTTTGTGAATACGAATCGTTTTAGGTACAACTAAACGTCAGTGTAATCTCGGTAGGAATCCCGACTAAGGGGTTTGGAGGATCCGTCAAAATTCCCAGATACCCTGTAAATTTCCCGGCGCTTCCCATCTGGTTTAAACCTACAGAAAGAAAAGAATATCTTATTATTAAAAACTCAATTCATTAAAGGTAAATTCTAAGTTCTAAAATTTTCTTTCATTTTTATGATTTTTAAGAATACTTTCATTCTGTTGCTTAAGTAAATATGTTCTAAAATAACGCAGCAAAGTGAAAATGTCTACACTATTCAATTTTTGTGAAGATTTGAGATAACTGACTTTTTATGTTTTTGTGTCTGCAAACAAATCAGATTATTTCATTATTATGTTTAGTCTAAAAATTGCATGCTTTTGTTCTCTTATCATGTAAATTTTGAATTTACTAGTTGGAGAAAAATGCAGAATATAACAGTTATCATGCAAATTTTGTATTTCCTCCACCTGAAAATTTAAGGACAAACTTTGATCCACTTATCAATCAAATCTTATTGTAATGAAATACACGAGCGGACTGGTCTTTTTTTTTTAAAATAATTTATAAAATACACACCAGGAACCATTGCGATGGCAGCCTATTGCTATAGCAATCAAGGCAACGCACATTATGGAAACACTTCCGGTGATAATTCCGATAATTTTCAAATCACTGAGATCATCTGTAAACAAAATCATGGAAAAAAGAAATTCTTCTCTAAAAAAATAATATATTAATTATTAAGGAATAAATAAAAACGAATCACACACTTCTTTGATGAAAATATATTTAATATTTTCAAGTACATGATACATACTTTTCAAATATGATAATTGAGAAATTTAAAGCTTTACATCGACTTTAATCTCTATTTTTGGTTTTAAACCTTCAGATTTACCTAGACGTTTCTTAACTTGAGGCATGCTCCACCTACGAATATTTTTTTTTCAAAGAGTGGTCTTCTCACAAATAAGTTGATGATACAAGAGAATGAACAAAGACCCTGTGTGTAAAACAACTCGTCATGAGGTCGAATGTTGATTCAAGTTTTTTTTTAAAAAAAATTAGGGCATAACTGTATTTTCAAAATGAAAAAGGCCAGATTGTTTTTTCTTTGTTTCTTTGAATGCCTACTCTCCAATGGAACCTGATAGTGCATTTCTACCTTTGAACATTCTGAGAGTTGCTTCTTTTGATCATCCTTTTGACAAATAGTGGTACACATAGACATGGGTCTCATAATCGTTATTTTTTTTCTTCGCTTTTTTGCTTATAAAAACTACTTTTCTATCGTTAAAATAACTTTTTGTAATTAAAATTTATTTTTTTTTAAATCCTGAATTCGTTTGCCCAGGTGTGTCCATAATAATATAGACTCTGCTTTACCCGTGGTCGTGTCTAATGTTGTTGTACCCTCAGTCGAAGTCTCTACTGCTGTGGTGAATGCAATTGAAGACACACTACTTGAAACTGAATAAAATAAGGTTTACTTGAAAACAGTTTCGAGTCTCTTTCTTAGTATGAAGAATATAACAAATCAATTATAAACTGTTTCTAATTACTTTTGCGTTTGTTTCTATGTGATGCAGTAGATATATCCTCACTATCAATACCAAAGAAAACAAACTAACATTGTAATAAGTTAAAGTGTCATTCCAATGTATAGTCTTTCGATCATAATATTTAAATTTGTTTAATTCTGTCACCTGCGACGTCTGTAGTTATGTCTGTGGAGGATGAAGTGACTGATATTGTTATATTTGGTGAGGAATCTGTTGGAACAGTATGTCTTGTAATGCTCGAAACTATGGAAAACATACATAAAATAAACATGAATTAAAGTTACTGAAATTCAATAAGGAAATACATTATCATAGCAGAAAAGTAGTGTATACCAAAATTTTTGCTTTTGGGAGTCTTTTGAAAGAAAATTAAAAATTATTGATATAGTAATGCAATTAGATATTTACCTTTCTTTACAATATAATTTATGTGTATTAAATTTTTTAAAGTAAAAATTAGTTTTTGCTCTAGCTGCAATTCAATCCAATCGTAAGTTTGTTACAGCTTTTTGATGCTTTTAAAACGTCCCTCTCATCTTCATGTCAAAATATTATTTTGCTACATAATTATATTTTATAAATTAATAGCAGACCCGTTTCACTTTCTGTTGAGTGTAAAGTCGTAGCTCCTTCAGTTGAAGTCTCTAAAGATGGCGTGAATGTTGTATTGGATGTAAATGTTCTACTAAAGCCTAAATTAAAAAATTACAAAATATTTCATTTAATTCATTTTTTTATGAGTATGATTATATTAAATTGATGGGATTTAAACACTTTCCCATATAATTATTACCTGTTGTTCCCTCGGTTGTTTCCTGTGCTACTGAGGTCACCGGGGACGTGGCTGTAGTTCTGTCTCCGCTACTTGAATCTGATTAACAAATAATTCTTTATCAAAACTCAGTAAATTTTTAATACTCCAATCTGACTTTTGTCCTTTATAGCAAAGACAAAAAAATCATTGCAGTCTTTCATAGACAGCTGAAGCAATAGATAGGGAAAATCTTATAACCTGTAATGTCAGTTGTTAGAGGTACGCTTGTGGATGTTTCCGGTGTAGACACGTGTAAATCTGTTGACGATTCTGTTGGTACATACCGTGTTGTGGTATTAGAATCTGGTGATACAGTAAAATCACTTATGAACTTATATATACAAAGACAAATTGAAATGCCTTTAATTTGTTTTGAAAAAAAAATAACAAGGGAAAAAATGTCTTAATTTAATAGTAACAAGTCTAGGGAATTTTACAGACAAATTAAAGATTCCCAAAAGGGTTATACATTATACATTTTTGCTGTAAATTCAAATCCATGTATTTCTGAAGTACTAATTTATAGAAAATGTTAATGTTTATACATGTATAATCACCTAGCAGGGGTTCCGAATAAGCGTAAAAAATACCAGTATTGTTAAATTCACCATGTTGATACAACTGAAATAATGAGAACAATTACTAATTTAATCATATTTTAGACCTACTAAAAATTAAAAATGCAAGCAAGACGTTTGTATTTCAAAGAAAAAAGCATCCAGAGTACTGGGGCGGAATGTAAATAATTGGTCTACTAGATATATAGATATTGAGTAAATGCTGTTTGTCAAAATTTCCTCTGGAAAATGAAGAATCGTGATTAGTATTGTCTTAGAAAACTGAAGCTCGAATGTACGAGTATATAATGTTTAAATAAATATGTCGATATTATTTAAAGAAAGTTTTATTATTTTGGTATATATGTCATGCGTACCTTTATTTCACAGGACTCAGTCAATGGCCCTTTGGCATATAGAAACTGATCATAGAAGTAGTAATACCACTTTGTGTTAGCGAAAACAACAGGCTCAGTTCTAGTGTCCCATTTCCAGGAACTGGGTATTCTGCTAGCAAGAATGACATCTCCATTTGTGTTATATAATTCTGGAACACACATGTATGTTGTAGAGTATATGCATATCGATCATTCATCATACAAAATAGATGTTTGAATGGATACTCACCTAAAAAGTTTTGCTTCATATCTAGATATGAGAACCAGAATTGAATGTTGTAGGTTCCAACAGGTAAAAGGACAAGAGTTCGACGATCACCTGATTTAAACAACACAGAAAAAGGATTTAAAATCTTTAAAATAATTTCAGAATTTAACAAAATGTTGAAACTGTATGATACTTTACCTTGACTTTGTTGTTTAATGTCAATTCCTGAGGTAACTGTACATGTAGAGTTTTCTCCACCACATACACCACATTCATCCAGAACCTTTCCATTCAGCCGATCATCGCATCCAAACCTCTGATTAATACAGGGATATTGACTGTATAATATATTGTCACTTACATACCAGAAATTTAGAGCATTTATTTGTTTTTTTATTATTTGTTCTGTTTTGGGTTTGTTTTGTTTCTTATCTTTTCCCCCCAATTTTTATACATATATTAATTTTCAACAATATTTTTCTTTTTAAAAGAATTTTTTTTCAAATGATATAGCAGTGTTAATCGTGGCTGATTTTTACGAGCAAAACACCAACAAATTTAGAATTTTGCAGTTTCTACTCATTATTTTGCAATCTCTAAGCTAAGAAGTTGAAGTTAATGATTCGAATTTTGCCTTGATGGTTTCATAATATTACTAGTATTCTGAATGATTAGCGTATCAATATCGGTATCTGAAAGAGGCAGGAAAATTCGAACAATTTTGCGGAAGTGAGTAAAAGAATCATGGAAAAAAAAAGATACAAAATTGACCCCACAATAAGTTTTGGAAAAAATTGCTTTTCGATTCAGTGTAAAATGTAAAAAGTAATAAAGACTCATAAAGAACTTATATATAATCATTATAATGTAGATTTCATCTACCTGACACAAGCCATCCAGACACATGTAGTAGGACCCCGAGTTTCGTGGCCAGTTGTTTAAATCCCAGACACTTGACCCCCCTACACATGCCACTCCGTCAGGCATAAACCCAAATCTGGTAAACGTGGGGATCGTGTGACCAGGGGCGGGGTGACAGGTCACCTCACACTGGCCATCAGCTGTTAATGGTTAAAAAGGAATATTTACTGTACTTGTGCTGTTGTGGTAACATACCGTAGTCACTATAGATTTTAGGTAATTACTTACAGAATACTTCAGCAGAATGGAATAGGAATATATACACAGATATTTACCTGTATCGGAGTACCTTGCCCCCGTCTCGTTGTACAGGTCGGGGTTGATGACATTGTTGTCCCTCAGTCTTGTACAAGTTTCCCCAGCACGCTGGTTCCTCAGAATTGTCTGGTCAGAGCTGTCACCGGGACAGGGCTAAAAGAATACACAGAAGACTTTCCTTAAATCAGACTAGTTTATCAAGTCAGTATTGTCAATTTCAATTGAAGGTCACTTCAAATATTCTTCTGGCGGAACAAAAACTGTCTTGCACAATTTCATCCCATTCAAATTTTGAAAGAACTTATTTTCTTTTGTTACCTTTGTGCTACATGTAACTGCTTCGTACGCATCTCCATCGCAACCGTCAAAGTTTATAGGACTGCAAAAGATAGTGTTTCAAATGAATTCTTCAATCCAATAGTGGATCCTAGTTATTTGAAACCCTTCATTTTCCGGACCACCTAATTTCAGTTATCCAGACGCTTCATTTATCTGGACGATATTGTTGAAATTATTCAATTTCATGTAAGATTCAGAATTAACTTGAAAAAGCCTGTATCTTAGATACTCACGCTGGGTTGTCGCACTTCCTTATTCTGTAGTTGATGCCCCGCCCACAAGTTCTGGTACACCCTGTCCATGACCCCCACTGACTCCACCCTCCCTCACGCTTCACTAGGCTGCTTAGTTTGGCACTTGAGGCGTCAGCACAGTCCGTCCTATGGCAAATCTATAATATTAAGTTTTTCTTCAAATACATTAATTAAATATATCGTGACATAAAATATACCACTTCAGTCAATCTATTCTTTTTAAATGGCTTGATGGTACCTTATTTTCCTCACAATACATTCCAAATACAGAGGTAGTTTCTTTGAACATTTGACCATAATTGACTTGGAGGCGGTTGTGATTGGCACAGCTGAACATGAGACAGACCTAGATTTAAGAAAAGGTAATCAAAATTACGGTTTATCAAGGTAAAAGAAATCAATGAATGGAAAATTCTAAAATAATATCGAATTTAGCTCTTACCCCAAGTTTTGGAAATTTACGAAAACGATAACCAGCACCGTACTTCAGTTCACACACTTGATCAGGGGAATACCTCTGTCCTATTAATAAAATATTGAATTAAAAACGTGAAAATAATTCCATAAATATTACGATATTGTGACTAAAAAGTATTCCGAAATATGATTTTGTGGAGCAATTAGGAATCCAAGTCTAATCTTAAAATGTTTTGAAAGACAGTGACCGAGCTACCTGGTATAGCTGGAACCAGACTTTGGTTCACTATATTCTGTGGGACTTCCTCTGGCGGAATATTTTCTTCCCATAAACAATCTTTATTAACTGAACTTGAAAAAGAAATGATAAATTATAAATTAAACTGAAGGTAATTTCTTGAAGTTATTCATGTTATATGAATAGTTCTTCTGACTTTGTTCCCAAAGCTCAAAAAGAAAACCATACACTGCACATGGATTAAAGAATGAAGAGTTTCATTTGGTTGTTCAGTTAACGTACTTTAACAATCTGGCCATGTCAAATTTACTGCAGGTGCTCCAACCAGTGCCATATCCTCCCATTAACCCTACGTCATTTCCGCTGCATCCCCGATCAGCATCGTGGTACATTCCCATTCTGTATCAAATCAATTTAAAACACGAATAAAACAATCTAAAAAAAAAGACTCTTCCTATTCAGATTTTACATTTCAGAAGAGAATATTTTCAAGTTGTTTATATATTTTTGATATTTTACGATATATTGAATGATATTTATAACATAATTACAGGTGACCGATCTCGTGAGCGGTAGCCGCGAAGCTGGCGGCCCCTGTTGATGTATCCACACCACAGCTGTATCTCGGGTTACATACAGAGTTCTGGTAAGCTCGGCCAGTGACATCCAAATCTGACAAACTGTCAAAATATCTAAACCTGACAAACTTTCAAAATAGTCAGAAGAAATCACCTTCCTTCATTTTTGGTTCTCTTTCATTTGAAATAAAAATAATTCTTCCAGAATATAAACGGCTTACTAGTATTAAGTCTAAGCAGATAATCTTACCCTACATGCATATAACGAATGTCGTACAAGCCATCATTTAATGTTCCCAAGCAGAAGTCGGAAAGAACATCACCAAGTCGAGTTGCGGAAGAATTATACCATGTCTAAAAATTAATTTATGAGATTTCAAAGTCCTCATTGGTATCAAAATCCTGCGATCTTTATGTAAAATGTATTGACACCTTGTGAATTTGAGCCCTATCCTTACATTATTTCCTTTACTTCTTCTACAGAGACAAACAATGCCAAACTACTGTCTTATTTAGTTCAATAAACTAATATCATAATGTATGAAAATAAAAATTAAAATCTTTCATATAATTAGAATGAACAGAAATCAAGGATTAAGAACCATACCGGGTTTGTTTCGAAGAAATGAACTTTTTTCAACAACAGTCGAACGTTAAATCCCAAACTGTCACTCCTTGACCATTCCATCTGAACCTATAATCAAAGATTTTGTATACTTTTACGTGACTATGCTTTCATTCTAACATAGGAAATTTCTTATTCATAACCTAACTTATTCAAAATCCTACCACATCTAAACATGAAATATATAATATAATATGATATGATATTATGCTTCCTGTCAGTTTGTCTCTATATAACTCATACCCTACTATTCTCGCATAGTGGTCTAAGGATTTATATAGCGTAAACATACTATGCCGAAAGAGTCCACGGCTTTATTCACTGAATAAAATTCTTCAATGCACACGCCGGGGATCGAACTCACGACCATAAGATAGTCAGTGCGATGCCTTATCGATTACGCCACAGAGACGATCACTGACTGATGGAATTTTATTAAATATATAAACTTAATTTAAACAATTGACACAAGAAGGAAAAAATAGACAAATATTATTTGAAAACAGTTATATTATTCTGAGGAACCTTAGATTAATATATACAACAAAGTTTCAAACTAATTACATACAGATCGTTATAGATGAACTGATTTCATAGGGTCATTAAAACGCTTTTTTATATGACGCTTGATTGAAGGATGTAAAAGAAAATTATCAATGAGAATCGACGTATGCAAACAAATAAGTCTTACTAACAAAACAGAAAATAAAGATGAGTTGCTTTGGGACAGAAAATCACGACTTATTTAGAGAAAATACTAGTAACCAAAATAACTAAGTATGCAACCAATTTTAGCATGAAGATATTGAATGAGTTCTTGCAAGTGCGCTGTGTTTGCACCGATATTTTCAGGAAAAAGTCAAATGGATTGCCGCATAAATAATTACAACAGTCAGCATAATAATAACAATAGTGTTGCATTATGCATGTACTATGCCTAAATAGTAGGCAGGGTTTGACACATAGTGCACTCGCCTCCGGCGCGTGCACCATGTGTCAAACCCTGCCTACTATTTAGGCATAGTACATGCATAATGCAACACTATTATATAAGTAATATATAGATAATATAATATATACATAAAATATTCATATAAGCATGTATACATACAGCGTAATACTTGAGTAAAATGTGTCGAAGTCTTTGAGAGAAATCTGTGACCAGCATGGTTTTTGTGAAGGCAGCGTCCGTGTAAACCGCCAGCTCTATCGTTATATTCTGTGACGGCACTGAACGTCTGCGTCTATCATTGGGTCCAATCAAGTTCTCTACAATTGTTTATTTGAAGTGAAAAAATAATTTAGACAATAGAAACCACAGTCACTTTTATTAAAATAAATTTTTTTTAAAGGTTTAAAACATTAACAGCATTAAATCACATGACTTTATGCAACCATTCTTTACGATAATTAAAGAGAAGGCTTTTTGACATTATAGTCAACTGCTTTCAGAAATATTAGAACAAGCAGATTTTATTCAAAATCTTTTTCATGAGAAGAAGAAAATATTTGTTGTGGCCTTTAATTAACAATTAGATTTTAACTATAGTATATCGTCGAAGTTTTGTCTATTACTCAGTTTGCCCAAAAGAATGTATTACGAAATAAAAGATAAATCAAATGAAAACGTCCACTGTTTGTTATATTCATCTTTTACATTTCAATCTATGAAAGTCTTTTTGATCCCTTAGATTAATAATTAAGTCAACCTGATGGACTGCCGAATTTTATCATAGTTTATGTTCCAGTCATACCTGCCAGAGACTCATAGGAAATAGGAGTTACGTCATCCGATTGACGTCCAACAATAACTTTCATAACGTTAGCAGAGGACTCGGGTAAAATTTCTAGATACAATGTAAGTCTTTCAGTTCGAACAATTCCAACCTAAAATACAATTTCATATCATGTCAAACATATTCCAAAAAGAAAAAAAGCTCAAACTACATGTATTTTGCAAATGTCCTTTTAACCACTACGTCTCTTCACCATAATACACCAACTTTTAATTATAAGCATAGTAAAGTACTCACCAAATTATCACAGATAGACATGATGGCTATACCCTGATGTGACGTCACACTTCCGGTGAGAAAGCAGTCTGGGTGAGGATCTGTCCACCGCTGAGTTGATTCATTTCTCCAGGTAAGAATCTCGGCGGACGGGTGCAAAATTGGCTGTGATTTGCTCAATTCTAGGTTATACTTTTCCGAAGCATACGTGAAGGCCACATGAACCGGTTCCTTAGAGTGCGTTGTCTCTGCATCTCTTTTATCTCTTTCCCTTTTATTAAAAAAAATTGCTTTAACCCATAAATTTTTGCACCAACATTACGTATACTTATGTCATTGGTTTTAATAAATATTTCCCTACTTTTAGGTGATGTTTTATCACAAGCACCTGTGTTATTTTATTACCGAAATAGGTCAGAGTCATGATGAAACGTTGTGTATTCTAGGTCTAGGAGTCCACGATCCTTCAATTTTGACAATAAAATGTCACTCAGGGTACTGGATGTTAAGACCTACAATGGATTCAGTGACAAAAGACATTTCAGTCTCATGCATGTTTCATATTGGGTGTTTTACAAGATAAACACACTAATAGCATAATTATCTGTAGAAACTTCATTTACAGAAAATGTGCAATTGGATAAAATAGCAATATACACTGTGAAAGATAAAACACTCAATATAGCATAGCCTTATATTTATTAGTTGTGATCAAAATTAGTTATGAAACATCATAGTAAGTTATTTCACATGTATCCAACCATACTGTATACTGCAAGCTACAGCGTATAAAAAATATTTGTAGTCATTTAATTTGTAAAAAAAAAAATGATTTCTTTATTAAACAAGCCATTACAATGACCAGGTGCAATGTAATAAGATAAGCAAATAAAAGGAATTACGGTGAACTATAAGGCGGCGAGACAGAAAAATGATCTTAGATTTGCAACAAAATTAAACTTTCAAAAAAAAAAAAAAACCCTCGATTGACGTTTATAAAATGAAAATTATTAATGATGTACAGTTTATGGATACAAATTAATCTCTGATATATTATTTTCTTTCCCACGTAATTTTCGTGGTTTAGTCTACATTTGAATACATGGTTGAATTTGTTCGAATTTCAAAAGACCTGAATACATCTCCTCATTTTCAGTTCCAAAGAAACGTCGACGATTCTATAGAGTATTGATCCCTGATACAGGTTCTGTGTTAACCGTCCAGGTAGAAGGGATTAATAGAACGTATTCCTGTATGGCTAGACTCCAATACAGCATTGAAAAATACTAAAGATCGAAAAATGTTAAATATTTTTACCATGTTAATGTCCTTTGTAAGATGTTCTGGGCCATTTGGCATATGTCATTTATGCGACATAATTTTAATATTTTCCCTACCCCATATATTCAGAGGTTATTCATAAATAGAAAACGCCTTTCGCTAACCTCTTCAATTAATGTATAACAAAAGGGAATATACACTAAATGGTATTTTGTAAACATATTCATAAATGCAATATACTTGATAGAGTATTGTTTTACATAGATTTTTAACTACTATAACAGGTAAGTATTAAATAAGTCCTGTTATACTTACATTTTCTATCCAAATCAATACAAGCAAATGCCTTGATACAAGAAGGAATACCATTTCATCACCAGCAGATAAATTATGTCTTGTTAAAATATACCCTTCTACTCACGAACTCAATTCTCGGCCATAGCATTTCAGAATTTATCATCATATATTTCCGTTTATCTAAAAGGAATCGCATCTCTTCTAAAACTGGAAATTCTTGCAATCATTTTTACAAACCATTGAACGCTCAGAGAACAATCGGGCGACTGGCGACGGTGATTTTTTTCCAATACAAATTCGTACAGAGTCTACAGAGGTATTTAAAGTGCAAACTTTGTAAGGTTTCAAGTTTCATCACTGCTGCTCATTCACTTCTCATTCACTACTGAATGAGTGGGATCACATTCTAAACATCCCTAGTCTTTTATACAACTGGTGCACAAACCATTCAATTCAATTAAATCCCCAAATAAGGTGAAAACATTAAATTTCAATGCATGTAAACAAATCCTGCCATGCACAATTTGATTTCATTTTCATACAACCGTCATATTTCTGAAACGGGTGAGTAAACATTTAAATTGCTATGTAAACAGTGATCCATTTTATTTTTAGCGTTACATCAGACACCAAACAAAAAAGAATTTCTTTCCAAATTTCTCAAACCTTTTGTTTGTACTCTTTGTAACCATTAATTTAACCCCATTTCGACTGTTAGAAACGATTTTGAAACTATACGTCTGGTACTTTTGAATGTCTTTAAGATAAAATTTCAAACAAATAACTAGAAAAAAGTATTGGACTTGGAGTTTCAAAATCATTAATAACAGTCAAAATTAGGTTAAATTAATGGATACAAAGAGTATCAATTAAACTTTTGATATATATACTGTACATGTATCCAGAAAGAAAATTAGTCCGTCAGGTGTCTGATGTGACTCTTAGAATACCACATATAATACAGAGTCTGACACACCTGTTTCATATTTGGGAAATTTAATTACTAGAAAAAGACGTAATCATAATCTAAAAACAAAGCTTTATGATAATCATGAAGACTTTAACTTCATCAACTTTACTTGTAAGTTAAGGGTCCTCAACACACACCCAGCTTATGTTTTCATATTACTGATCATTACTTTTAAACAAGCATATTAACCTTTAAAAACTGGCCTGTGATTAAAATATAATTTATAATGATTTTTAAAATAATGATATTTCCATAATTTTCCAGATATTTTTCCCAAGGCGTTTTCATAGGTAGCGCAACAAATTTTGTTTTTTTTTCTATCGTATACTTTAAAGCTCACAGAATAATTACAAAAATTTAATTTTATCAATCAACATGTTTCCAAAACGAGAAAAGTTATTGACACACAAGTTGATGAAACAGGAATTTCAACAGTCTCGCTATCATCATCATTTCGTAAGTTCATTATGCTTGATACAACGACTTTGTCTGCATCATTAGACAAATATTGACTGAAGTTTTACACACTAAATTGTCGACGATTTTTCAGATCATGACAAGGAACACATGGCGGGTGTTACCGGTCGGCAGTGGATGTTAATTCTCCATGGCATCTGATCTCACTTCTTATGTTTTAGAGGTCCAAGTTTTCTCTGCTCTTGATTTGTATTGTTTTATGGACTTCTGAGCTTGAACATTTCTTGTTATCTCCATATTCTTCATTTATCAATACCAACAGCGTAAGGGGGGACCTAGCTGTGTCCGAAAAGTCTTTGTGTGAAATTTTCAAAACTTTGATATTTCTTTCATAGCCAATTGCTCTTAATTTTTAAGTATAAAAAAACAATACCTTTATGTGCTTATTTTTACACAGCAGCACGTGCAAAAACAGTGTGAAATGCTAAAAATAAATTATTTTGAGACATTACTGTTCTACCCCAAATATGCGCGAAAAAGAACCAAAAATGTCAAATCACATTTAAAATAAACAGGTATATAAATCATTTGACTTGTATCATTAAAATAAAGGCAAATTCATTGTATTTCATCTTGCATGAAAAAATATAATGGAGCACAATGTAAGTATTACCCCATTTTTCTTGTCGTATTTTTTACAAATCCGACATGCATAAATGGTAATATCTTGAAAAGTCTTTGTGTGAAAATTTTGTAATTCATATTTCTTGAAAGAAATGAATTATCTCTTTATTTTAACAAAGAAAAAAAAGTATACCTTTATGATAAAATAAACGAGAAATATGAAGTTCTTTTATTTTTTCTTGTTTCATAAATATTGACCTTTCTGCACTAAGACAAAGGTAAGGAAGAACTGGCAAATATCTGAATATAAAACTATATTGCGGAAAACAAGTATTTTGTTTTGATTAGTAACAATTTACACTGATTTAATCTTTTTTTTTCATTCCAATCATTCTGTTTCTCCCCCCCCCCCCCTTCTCCGTCAACAACAAACACCTATCAGAACTAGGAATGACTTTATACAATTAAATCTAAATGTACTAATCAATAACCAAGTAGGTTCAAGTACATTTCTAATTTTTTTGCTAGTTTTATCGAGAAATTACAATTAATGGTAAACATAAAGTTATATACATATTTCCCTGATTTAAGCCGCTTTCTTTGCTGAATTTTATTTTAACTTTTTGCACCTTTACCATATATTATCGAGGTATCTCTTCACAACTGAAATTGCTATAAATTATCAACCAAAGGAAGAGAATTCTAATATTAACAAGTAACAGCTTTTTAAAAAGCTTGCCTGACTAAATCAATCAATTTATCTTCCTAAAGAGTGATAACCCTTTTGAGCAATACTTTGTAGGTTTAAAAAATATCTTAACTTTATATTTTGAGAACCTTATGTAATTGAAATCTTGATTTTATTGAACTTGTAGAAATATCATCTCTACACTGCATATACTAAAGAACTTTGTAGTTGAAGGGGACGTGGGGAGGGGGGTCTGCAAGTGGAGTGATCTGCCCTTGGATCTAGATTGATTTCAAGTTACATTGTAACACCTATTATAAAATCTGTTATCAAATCACGCATTGTGAACATTTTAAAAGATGGATATAATTAAAAACACATTTTGTTGGAGTGTATTTTCTCCTCTGAAGTAAACAGTAGTAATGGGAGTTCATTACTTTTTTTTAAAAAGGGGTGGGGGATGACACTATCATATAATATATGATATATTGAGAATGAAATAGTAAATTCAATAGTTAGGCTTTATAGAAAGAAATATCCCAAGATTATTCACTACTTTCTTATTTATTGTGTGCATCTGAACAAAGACATATAACAGATCATGCATTTGGAGACGATGGCTTGAACTGTGTTGTTTATTATTATTGGACTCGTCCATTTATGGAATAAACCAACCGCGGGATCGGTAAACAAATTAGAAACATCATTTCTTTAGTGCCCATATACCATGTATACTGATGTACGATATGTTGTTTTAAAGAATGGTAGAAAACTTGCAGATAGAATTTCTGAAGCATTAGAAGGACAAACTTTATTTAATTCCATGGAAGTTACCACACCCATTCATACAATAGAACAATCCAAAGAAAAGGCGCGAAGATAGCTTACTAGTGACATTTGGCGCGAAAAGAGCGATTCACCCCTTTCGTAGAATATAAATGGACTGATCCAGTAGTATAGAGATACACGGACATGTTGAAACGGCAAATCATATGAAATAATCTGTTCCATGCAAAAAAGATTAAAGGAAGTAAAAACTGCAGTATTATACGCATCAGTAATATGTTTCTTTCTTCTGAAAACTGTTTCTTTTAAAATGCAGGTAAAGAATTCGAATGTAAATCAGGTTGCACAAAATCTAGCTCTTTAGATATGGTCGCACATTTTCGGATCTTGGATATATCAATCCTTATACTGCCTGACGCCGTGACGTCAGGCAACAAGCTCCATAATTCAAATAAAACTGCTATTAATGATGTATACGTTTTCTTTTTGTAAATTGTGTGTGTTATTGATTATTAACAATGTTAAGCCTTTATCACAGTTGCAAAAGTCAACGGGTAAAAAACCAACGTGGCTATTGTGACGTCTCTCAAGACAACAAATTAAACCCATTAAAAATGAAAAAGGAAACAATAGTGAACAGAGGTCCATCTATACAATATATACAGACCATGCACAAAAGTGTAATTTCGGTCGACAGGGAAGAAGTTTTTATTGCAACTGATCCCACCTCTGATGTTTTAGAAGTGTGCGTTTGCTCTGTTCCATTTGTTAGTTTTGTTTCCATAGATTTTTGCTTCCTCATATCATCGTAAAATTGTCGCATCTTTATATGGAAGGGAATTACCGCCAAAAGTCTATGTATCTTGCTTTTATTCTTATTCTGCCTACTTCTTTATGCTTTGTTACTGTTGTAATTATATGTCACTTTATTGTTTTCATATTCGTCTTTATTACATTTCACTTTGACTTTTATCCTTCTTCATTTTGCCTTTACTTCCATGTTGCTTTATTCTTGTAAATTCATTTTACTCTCTTTTAAATTGGTACAGTTTCTTAAATGATTATCTCTATTACGAACGTGAATTCAATCACACAAAGAATGAAGCATATTCAATGAAGACGAATACAGTTGTCAAAATTTAGTGCCGCATTATAACGCTAGGTGGCAGGGGTGTTCGCTACGAGTGTTGGTAAAACTAGGTAAGCAATCCCGGGGCAGGGTTATTCGAGTTTTTTCAATTTTCTGCCTTAATACTTTATCAATCGAACTTAAATTTTCAAATGATGTTTGTTATAAGTTCAGGTATGTACCCGAAAATGCCAATCCCTCGGAAGGTGGTAAGATTTCCCCTGGAAGACTGACTACATAGTGATGCTTCCTTCGGATGACTATACAGTGAATAATTCTCCCGGGGAAGTTTCAATATATGGCTAGTCTTCCGTGGGAAATCTCGCTGTATAAAGCAATTCGTCCCCCTTCATAGCAACCCCTCCCTCGAATAGTTTTTTAATCGTAAAACAATGTTTATATACTAACGTTTTCAGTTTATGAAGAAAACTTATCCGTCCTTTATGAATAAATATTTAAATGATATCATTTTAATAGTTGTTAATAATTAAACCATTTTAACCATTTTGTTAAATAGATAATCTTCACGAGTACAAATGGATAATGACTTCCTTTTTCGCCCCCCCCCCTCTTCCTGGATGCACCCCCACCCCCTCCCCCAGGGTGCAGTCGCCCGCGTGGCACTGTGGTTACGGTGTCTGCTCTAGAGTCAGGAAACACAGTAGTAAGGAGTCGATCAATACCACTATAGGACGTGGAGTTCGGTCCTCCGGATGAGATCTAGACCGTATTATCCGAGGTCCCGTATCGCAGTAGGTGCTGGCACGAAAAAAGATCCCTCACTGCTCAATGGCTATAAGTGCCGAGTATATAGGACAAATTTGCAGCTCTCCACCGGCAAGAGGTGGCTTCTCCATTTGAGTTAAAAATTCTCGAATTTAAAGGGACGTTATACAATGTACAATCATTATCACACCCCCAAGTCTCAATAAATATACTGACTTCCGTCTGTACGACCTCCTATGGGGTAAGTTTCACCGGTAGAGGGGAGGGTGGCCACGAAACAATTACCTAAACATAACAGACTTTCTACTACTGGAAAAGTTCAGCGAAAGGCTTGTTGCCCCCATCCCTTACACTTTTTGTTGCAGTACTAATAGTCAATTTATATATTAAATATTAAAAGTCATGTACTTAGTGGCATATGAGTAAAATTTGGTATTGAAAAAAGTTGACGACCCCCCCCTCACCACCACCAAGTAGAATTTTCAAGTTTTAAGATTTTTTTTTAGCTCTCCTGGCTGATGTAAAATACGGTGCGTACTAAAGATATTTCTTTTCTGTATTGAAAAGCGCTATTTCAATATAAAATATTATAACAGAAAAAAGATTGGGGAGTTTCTAGTATGCCTGTGGTGTAGCCTGGTTCCGACTTCGCCTACCAATAACGCTCCTCACTGCAAAGCCCCGTCCCTAGAATCAAGAGCAGTTACTATCTGTCGTGAAATAAAGTTCAGTTCAGTGGAAGGTCCTGAAAAACAACTCAATTTATAAGGGGTAACTAGTATCAAAATATTTAACATTTTTATGTCAATTTAACTGGAATTCAATTATCCAACAAATAACTTTAACAGAGTTATATTTTTCAGCGAGAGAACAAGTGACATAGAATCGATTTTGAAAATTCAAGCTACCCGGCTGAAAACAACTTGACAAGCAAAAAAAACAAAAAAATTAAAAACAAGGAAATTGTCCAAACTTGAAAAAACATAGGCATCAAAACCGGGGAGGGGGGGGGGGCTTAGCCCCGACTTTTTTTTCCAAAGGTAGACTTAGTATAGACATTGAACATTGATGCGTAGGTTTAGCCCCCCCCCCCTACTTTCCATGGACACGATGCAGTATAGGTTTAAAATGGGGAAAGTCGTGGTGTTTTGAAAAGAAATTGACACTGAAGTTTGACACCCCCCCCCCCCCACGAAAAAGGATTTTTGTTTAGACAGTGGACATTTCTTTTTTCTTTTTTGGCGTGTCAAGTTTTTTTTTGAAGGTCTTAAAATATTTCTTACACTTTGCCCCCCCCCCCCCCCCCAACCTTCACTTTGCTTCCGACGCCAATGAAATCCTATTTGGGGAACGGGGTGGGTTTGGGGTTAGATTTAACTTTTCTATAGTATCAAATTGAAGTTTTCTTTCTACTTTACTACATTAACCTTATTTGACCTTTACCCTTACAAAAAGTGGGTCGGCCTTTCAATGAACATATTCAGTAAAGTATATAAAGTTATGTCTGAAAAAAGAGGCCTCTAGTCCTGTGTGCCCAGAGAAAATAAATATGAAGTTTCCATCATTGGATCGGGTGATCGGATCCGGTCTTCAGAAGTTCGATTGATAAAGTATTAAGGCAGAAAATTGAAAAATCTCGAATAACCCCGCCCCGGGTTTGCTTACCTAGTTTTACCAACACTCGTAGCGAACACCCCTGCCACCTAGCGTTATAATGCGGCACTAAATTTTGACAACTGTATTCGTCTTCATTGAATATGCTTCATTCTTTGTGTGATTGAATTCACGTTCGTAATAGAGATAATCATTTAAGAAACTGTACCAATTTAAAAGAGAGTAAAATGAATTTACAAGAATAAAGCAACATGGAAGTAAGGGCAAAATGAAGAAGGATAAAAGTCAAAGTGAAATATAATAAAGACGAATATGAAAACAATAAAGTGACATATAATTACAACAGTAACAAAGCATAAAGAAGTAGGCAGAATAAGAATAAAAGCAAGATACATAGACTTTTGGCGGTAATTCCCTTCCATATCTTTACAATATGCAACATGAAAATACTGATTTTTGTTCAAGTTTATAAAAATTAAACTCTGCATTCTGAATTTTAAAATTGAAAGTGATACTATATTCAATTTAAAGCTTTTTGGTCAAACAGTGATCCTATTTTTACATTCTTGGTCAATGATTTTAACTGATAAGGTGAAATATTAAATTACAGAAAGGACAAATGGTAGTGAGTTTGATCAATTTCATATAACATTGTAAATACTTTTTTAAAAGCAAAATGTTAAACTCTTAGAGGTCTGTTTATAGTACCTGTTTCACTGAATCTAAAAATGAAGAAATTCACAGGCTCTCTTGCTCTCTTGGATTAAGAGTACTTGTATGTTTTTTATCTATTTATGTCTGTATCGTTTATAAAAGTAGCGCTCAATATTTTTTGAAAATAAGCTACCCTTCGTCTAATTAAACTTCATCTGATGTGATAAAAACATGTTGATATATGGACATAGTATATCAAGATTTGTCATGTTGCCAAAGCGAGGCATGCACATTAATATAAACATTATAAACGTAAAAAATTAAATAAATTGCGTAAATATTTAAAGCTGATTACTTTCACAAGAATGCATGTACAAGCAAGTTTTACAAATATAAATCTAGGAAAACATATTAAAACATGAAAAAAAAACAACCAAGTATAATGCCCTGAAAACATTTGCTAGATCATTTTTCTCACTTAATTCAATATTAATTATAGTCAGGATGATTTTCCACGTCATAATCAGGGTGAGCCTCGACATAAACTTTTATGTTGTCTTTGTCATCAGTCAGCTGACCATTCTTGTGTTGTTTGGGGAAACCATTAAAATGTCCCGATACCTTGTAACCTGTTCCCGGTGTTCCTTTTTGTTTATACCTTAAAAAAGACATTAAAGGTTAAAGATAGATGTTATATATAAAGACATTTATTTCTATATATCAAAGAATCTTTAAAATTGTAAGAAAGTGAGAGACATAACGTACAAGTACGTAATCATCTTCATGCCACAAGACAATTAAATAAAATGCTCAAATACATTTTTTCTTTAAATGGAGAGTTCAAAATGGTGTAAAATGCAGATTAATAATTTGATTGTAAACTTCATGCATAGCAAGATTTTGTACAATCATGCAAAATTAAATGATAAAAAGATCAGATTAAAAAAAACATTTGTGGGTTGTCCTATATTATATAAAATTTACCCTCATTTATTAAGGTTTAAACAAAAAATACCGTTATGCTACTATAAATGTACACTGTAACTGAAATATGTGATTTAGAAAATACCTGTAGATAGATATTTTTGGTAAAAAAAAGAAAGAAATTAAAATCCTGCAAACAATACATTCTGAAAATAATCTTTATTTAATTTTAAAAAATTGAAAGAAACTTTAAGATAGGAGAGGTTGGTTAAATAAACAGAAACAGAAAGTTACGTACCAAAAACCGAAATAACAGCATGCAATAACAACAACGATCAGAATTACCACAAACAGACACCCAACAGTGACTCCAACAATCAGCCAGATCGTTCTTAGTTTGCCTAACAATGAATTGAAAGAATTATCTTACAGTAAAATTACATATTTTCATGAGGTCAAATTTCCATGGTTTGAGGAAAACTGAGTTTAAGGGGATTGGATTTCGTGTGTGAAGAATTTTTGAGTAATTATGTATATGACATTTTACATGACATGGTGGATATGAATTCGTGCC